GATGAGGGGTCAGGCATCAACATGTATGGAAAGGCAGATATGCGCACGGTAAGGTCTTGGATCTCCCATGTCAGCTCGGTTTCCCGTGTTTGGAAACGGGAAAGGCGGTGATCTCGAACAGCTGCAGGGTGCCGTTAGCGGCTGACAGGCGTTAAAGATAGATGCGTACTGTTCGAGACCTTCATCTGCAGCAACCGATGACGATCGTCCATCTCCCGAAGCCGTTCTTCACTGAGTGCCAGACGGTACTGCAGCTGCACAGTCTGGTACTGAGAGTGCATCTAGATGAAGGGTTCGTGAGAGGACAACAGTCACGGGAAGACTAAACTCACCGCTTCAATACCCTCCTTCCAGACTCTCTTTTCCTTGTCCATCCTCCTCTCTACCTCCACCTTAGCAGTCCGCTCGCGTTCCAGCTCTGCGCCAAGCAGCTGCGAACGCGCTATGAGCTCGACGATGTCCTGGTCCTTCCTCCGCATTGCCGCACCCTCCGGCGAGTTTGTTGGAGCGGACAACCGGGAGAGCGACGGCGGGGAGCGGAACATTGCCGTCATCCTTGTGTTGTCCGAGTAAGGTATATACAGTCAAACAGCCGTCAATGCTGTCAGTCGGTCGGTCGCTGTAAAGCGTGTATGCTCCGTCGCTGGTCGAGAAGTGGTGCGCCGGTGACGGGCGGACTCGTCAACGGGATGATTTCACGCGCGTCAACACGCGACGCTCCGCTTCACAGTCACGCGAGCCGCGTTCTGCACCGCCACAAGAACCCTGCCCAGCGCCCTCATTACGACGCGTCCCTGAGGACCGCGGCGTGTCCTAGCCGTCGACATCACACCTGACATGGCTGCTCGACAAGATGCTGAGCGACTACGACAGCTTGTACAAGGCGACCCCGAGCTGCTCAAGGCTGCTAGCGAATATTTGGCCAGGCTACGTATGCTGGCGACCACAGTGGGTAGTTTGCGCGACAACGCGACTGCTCTCGCACCGATCGCCGCGTTGCTTGCTTGTGAAGAGTAGGTATATCCGATGTACCCAAGGGGCGTGAGACTCACACAACCGCAGGAATGGATCGGAGGCGGTCTCATTATCGTCCGCGCAGAAAGCATCTTTCCGCCGCCCTGGCGAGTTTCAGAACTGCCTCAAGGCAGTCCGCAGCCTGCTTGTGCAGAAATCAGCGTCCTCCTCCCCTCAAAAGACCCGCGGCCGCCCAGCTTCGGTCTCGTTTGAATCTCTCTTGTCAGTGTATAGGAATTTTGGTGTTAGAAGAGGGGTGGTGCAGGAGATGAATCGGACGATGCAGGAGTGGGAGCGACTGTTGGACAAGGCGAAGGGCGGGAAGTATACCGCGGTCGACGACCCACGGTATACGAAGGCGATCTTCGTGTGGGTGTTAACCTCGCTCAAGGTGTGTTTCGTCACATGTACTTGTCTCGCCACCCTGTGCTTACCACGCTGTTCTGCTTAGTACCCTATGGACAAGGCCGCCTTCTGTGCCCAACAGGACATGCGCACCGTCGACCTCACGAACATCCTACAATCCCTCGACTCGCGGTGCTTTGCGAGAAAAGCAGCCTTGGAGAAGAAGACAGAACTTCATTATCATGGCCTTTCTCGCGCTGATCAAGACCCTACGGTCACGCCGACGAAATCCCTCAAGCGGAAGGCCTCTACGATGGACATGCCAGAGATGCTCCCTTCCTCTACCCAATCAGCTCGTTCTGGACGCTCCTCAAACCCATTTACTCCCTCACCTACAAAATTGCGCGCACGACTGGTCTCTCCAGAACCGTTGCCATTACCCACGACGCTGTCCGACTCGGAGCAGGAAGACGATGAGGAGGGGCGCAGCTCGCCTCCCCCGCCGCCGAAGTATCGACTTCGTCCTCTGTTCCTGGAGACTTTGGGTTTGTCGAAGGTCGACAACATGCGGGAGGTGGAGTGGTTCAGGACTTGGAGGGCGGAAGTGATCCAGAGAGGGTTTGAAAGTGCAAGTGAGGATGAGATCGAAGAGTTCGATGAGGATGAGGACGACCCCGGCGAGGAAGGGAATGGACACAGTGGTACGCTTGTGAGCGACGAGACCGGAGGCGAAGAAGATGGTGAAGATCAGTCCGACTCGGGAAGCGATGGACTGAAATGAATGCGGTCTAGAACACGAGCACCAGGAACGAAAATTAGGGTTAAGATGAGTGAGGCGTGCTAAGGATTTGAACTATAGACACAGTGCATAGTAAATAAGATCAACCATGTGTCAACCAAGCCCTATACGACTATTCCAACCGTCGAGTCGCTCGCCGCGCAAGACTGCACATTGCTTTTAACCAGCCAGAGACCGAGCCAACTGGCCGAGCTGAGTTGCCATCTCCGGGTATTCCTTCACGAACTGCATCTGTGCTTGGGTAGCCTGTAACATGATTAGAACATGATATAGGCAATATGAGTAAGCGGAAACTCACGTATTGATACGTGAGAGCATTCTCCAGATCTGGTGCCGTGCGTGCGATGTCCGCGCCCTTCTTGAACATCTCGATTGCAGTCTCCAGTTTGCCCATCTGTAAGCTGAATTGGGCTAGTGTGCCGACCGCTGCGTCACACTCGGGGTCAATTTCCAACGCCTCACGACACAGCGCCTCGGCGGCATTAGTGTCCTGCTTCCATTGGTAGATGGTGAGGGCCTTGTTGACGAGTGGAAGCACGTTCATTCGTCGGCGAGGCTTTTGGCGCTCTAGCTCGATGGCGCGATCGAACTTTTCGACCGCATCCTGGAATCGCTGCTGGTCGAGGAGTAGCTCACCACTGTTCAGACAGTCAGCAACGGCGTCCACTGCCACGTGTAGATAAACGCACTAGTAATTCTGCGGCTCGCTGCTCTGCGGGAACTGGCGCATCGCCGTGCGGAACTTTGCCATGCTCTGCGGGATGTTGCCTTGCTTGTACTTGGCAACAGCGAGTTGAATGTGTGTGAAGACAAAGTTGGGGTCGAGTGCCACAGACTTCTCATAATCCTCGGACGCAGAATCATAGTTACCCATGATGAAGTGGACTGGGACAGCAGTTAGCCTCCGCATGTACACGAATCATCCGATCCCCCACCTTGTCCACGATGATAGTAAATATCCGGGTCATCTTTGTTGTACTCCAGCGCTTTGTCGAACGCGGCAAAAGCAGCATCTGAATCGTTCAGCTCCATGTGGACGCTGGCGATCTTGACCCATGTCTGGGTGAGCGTTGCGTCGGCATCGATGGATGCAAGCATGTCGGCACGGGCAGCAGTTGCCTCACCCAGGATGAATCTGGGAGAATGTCAGTTTGAATGAAGCAATGAAATGGAGCGTATACATACTTGAATGTTCCCCTGAGGTTCAGGGCTTCTGCATTGCCGCGCGGGGTCGATGGTGCTTGTTCGACCGCTTCGTTGGCCAGAGTGAACGCATGCTGGTAATCGGCAGCTTCAAGAGCGTCGAATGCTAAGTCAAGTGCCTTGTCACCAGATGAAGGGTTCTCCGGAAGTGCAGGCTTGAGGTCTGAAAGGAGTCAGCACACATCATTACGTCGATGTTGGAGACCTTACGAGGTCGGAAGGCGGCAAGATAAGAGGAGATGAAGGTCATAGATGGTAGGCGAGGCTCCCGTGTCTATGCACAAGTCAGCATGCGTGCCATAAACATGCTGCGGGAATGGCATACAGAGAGGATCTCCACCATCCGCTTGTTGGCAACCTTCTTCAGCACCCGCTCCATCGCCTGTGCAGACGTCTCATTCTTGAAACGATCAAGGATTGTGGCAGCCGTAAAGTCTGTGGGAAGAGCATAAGTCATCGCAGCCACCGTCGTCGTGCAACAAGCTGACCGTGAAGTGCATCGATATCATTACCGAGCGCCTCGTGTGCACCCGCTCTCCTGTTCAGCGCCTTTACATAGTTCTTGTCCAGCTTCAGTGCTTCGTTACAGTCATCAATGACTTTTTGGTGCTGAGGTGGTGAATAGTTCACGTAGCCTATGAAAACATGAGTCCCTGACAGTCAGATATAGCCTCGTAACGCACAAGCTGCTCGGTTGGAATAAAATACAGCCTCGGGCGTCGGTGATACAGCAATGGCTCGGGTGTAGAGCTCGACGGCATAGGAAAAGTTGCGAGACTGGTACGAAGCGTTTCCTTTTTGCTTCAGGGAAGCCGCCATGGCAGCACGCTCCTGTACGGCAGTCAGCAGGCGCCCAAGAGGTTCTGTTTCCCACATACGTCGATAGGCATCGCCTTTATCTCTTCCTCTGTCGGCCTCGGGCCTAAGCCTACATGTCTGCATCAACATCGACGCCTTGTATACGCTCATGAGTATGCGCACCATCCTCATCTTCGACCTGCACGGTCTCTTTCGGCTTGTCTGCGCTCTCGCCTGCCTTCTTCTTGTTCTTCTTCTTTTTATGCTTCTTAGCCCCGGTTGCGGCAGGCTCCTGCTCATGGACATCCTCCCACTCCTCTTCCTTCTCGTCTGCCTTGGCCTTGGCCTGCTCCTTCACTGCCTTGACCTTGGCCTGCGCCGATGATGAAGTGTACAGATAGTAGCCGACTCCACCGGCGGCAATAACGGCGACAGAGGAAAGGACGATCGCCCGCTGGTGGTGCGCTACGAAGCTCGATATCTGGGCCGACAGGGGCGCACTCGCAGACGTTGAGGAGGCCATGATTGCCGGAGAGAGGATGAGCGAGTATTGCGGCAGGCGACCCTCGTAGCTGACGGCGAGATGGAGGAGCGAAGAGCGGACTTTCCAACTTTTGCTCCCGGCGCGATGAGCCGGCTTCCGGCATGACGCGTGTCCTGCAAGACCTCCTCCCCGGGGCAGACAACGTGACACTGGTTTCGAAAGTCGCATTCAGCATCTCATAAACTCTCAGACGACCGAAACACTTGAGAAATACAAACTGAGCTCCTTGAGAGACTAGGCACCCGAAGCGCGCCTGCTTTCAGGGTGGTGGAGAGGTGCCAAAAGGAATGTGAAGTTTGCCCTCAAGCCGATTTGAACGACTGACCTCGACATCACCGTATGCTACACTGCAGACTACTAGTGTCGCGCTCTACCAACTGAGCTATAAGGGCGGTGAATGATTTTGGGTCCTTGCCAATGCCCTAGTCATTTAAGTTGTCCTGTCCCATCATCGACATAGCGGTGTGTACTCAGGGTCCATTGTTCTCAGGGCTTACGGTCACGTGGATGTGAACAATGCTTGTGGCGAAGCTCCGAAGATCGACTAACTCTTCACCTGTAATCCCCTTGCCGAGGCCCGACTACTTGGCTACAGGAGCAGCATGGAATTCCAGCAGAGGGTTTCTCCACGCTCTGCGGAAATATCCGCGCTTCGATAGTGCGCCGCAAGCCCTGCTATTGCGCCGGTACTTCCCGCAGCTTCCCGCGTGAGGCTTGCGGCTTCTTGAACGATCGGATACCAGGAGTTGGCTCGAACCCCACCGAACTGGGGGAGGCTTCTGTGACTTATGGTGTGCCTTGCCACAAGCTCCGTGCCTCCAAGCACCACATGCTTCTTGTGTTTATTTTCCCGCCTGATTCGTACAAGCGAGCGCGACTGTCTAGCGCCCACAGACCCAGAAGCACCCGACTTTCGAGCACGGCCGCCGACACCCAATAGCTCGGCGTGTATCTATGGTGATGTTGTCCCGGATTCCTTCTATGAGCACTTTCCAGACCTGCTGGCACCAATAGACGAGACCCTATCATGCTGCAAGAAGCTGAGTACTCTCGTCTGTCCGAGAAGCTTCTTGCTGCCGCATCCTGCTTTTTCGGCACGGCATGGACAGAGCGGTGAGAGGCTGGCCTAAAGCATTGAGCCGACTCTTTGTTCCGGCCCACCTTTCCCGCCGACTCGTCCATCCGTCCGTCCGTCCACGCAGCCATGCAGCCATACGTGGATGAGTACAGAATCCAAAATCCAATTAGAGCGAAGCGAAAATACACTATGTTCGAACTACGGGCTATCCGCGCGCCTCCCCCCGCTGGCATTCTAGCACTCAACAACAAGAACAGAACCTTGAAGAAAAGTCAACTGCTACACGAACGAATTGCCGTCCCACTAGTTATACAGCAAAGAGAGCCCAGGCGAACAAACCCCTGCCTGCCTGCATCGGAGCCCTCCTGCATGGCTGGCTCGCGCTTGCGTCTGCGAATAGAGCCATCCGTAAATGATCCATTAATCATCCGATTTTGTTTTGACCACCTCGCCACTCCCATGCCAGCAGCACCAAGGCCAAGCCCAACCCAACCCGTTTTCCACGCTCGCACAACCTCATTACGTACGTGCTGCTGTCCACAATCTGCGAGGACTCGTATGTCGCCCTGCCGAGCTCCGGTCCGCGGCGGTCCGCCTCGCCTCCTCGTTGCGCGACTTTTGCGGCCAAACTGGGCGAAAGGGTATGCGGATATTCAAAGTAATAGGTAGCCACCGTGACTGCCTCGGGGGCTCCACGCGCACGTTCAACTGGCAATGAACCCATCGCGTCGCGTCATGTGCTCGTCAAAGAAGCGCTCCTCGGGGCGGACGACGTTGTCGTCCTCCCAGTGGTCCGTCTGGAGGTCGTACATGCGCGAGGCCATGATGAACTGTCCTACTTCCTGCGCGAGGAGCTTATCTCCGCGGACTGGCTCGGGATCGAGGTAGTCCAACCACAGCTCGGGCGTGGGTGTCCGCCGGTAGCCGCTTTCGTACACGTCGTCCGTGCGCATGCCGTCGTAGCCCGGGGAGCCCGAGTCGGACCGGGGCGAATCCGAGCCGTCCGAGAATGGGCTCGAGGACATCGGCGACGCCGGCCGGTGCAGCTTCATGTCCCAATGGAAGGAGGGCTTGAAGATGATGCGCTCGACGCGGCAGCCGTGGGCATTGCGCGCGGCGGCAAAGTCGATCAGCTTGTAAAGGTGGGACTCGTCGAGCTCGAGATCGGTCGACCAGGACTCGAGTTTTGGGCAGATGCACGATCCGCCTTCGAGGTTGTAGATGGACTGCGTCATCACCTCCAACACCTGCTTGTACGCCGCGCCATAGTCCGCCTCTGCGCTCAGGAAGGCGATGCGGCGGACGGTGGGGAGCCGGCGCAGGAGATGGAGCACGAACGTCGACACGTGGCGCACGACAAATGTCTCTATTGGAGGCTTGGACACCGCGAGGAACTCGTAGATCGGCGCATCGAACGTGTACGGCGGGATCTCACACCGCTCCGTGTCCATCTCGAGCCAGCGCAGGCGTGGGGCGGCGAAGAACTCGAAGGCGCGTTCCATCCACGCGCCGGTCGCCACGACGTACTTTGCGAGATTTGGCAAGAGCACGCGCTCGCCGCAGAAGGAGGACTGGGTTGGCCCGGGCGGCATGAGCCACGAGGTGGAGATGTCGATCCTGAGCTCGCGGAGGTGCTGGGCGGATCTGAGCAGGGCTACGAGCACCTCGGGCGAAAAGTACGCATGGGCGCCCGCGACGATGCAGAGTCGTTTGCAGGTTGCCAGCATGGGATAGTCGCCGTTGTGTCGGCTGAGGGGGACGTTGTGGAAGACGGCTTCCTCGAGGCAGGGCATAGGCGTCCGGAATAGAGGCGCCATGTGCCCGCCGCTGTCGTAGTCTGTAAAGCTCGGGAAGGAGATCTTGAGCCTGCGGAGGTGGCCGCCGAGCACGTCCATGCAGGGCAGGATGGTCTCCATAGTGCGGGGGTGGGCGCACGTCTGCTGGAAGGTGAACGTGAGGTCGTCGGTGCGGTTCGCGCACTGGTCCACAAAGCGGCCGACGACGCTCACGTCCTGGCCGAGCTTGAGCTCCGCTGCCAGCCCCGCGCCGCGCGAGCGCAGGAGGAAGGTGAGCATCTGCGCGTTGGACCACTGTTGCCGGCGCCGGTACCGCCCATCGTCGTATCGCGTGCGCTCGACCTGGCGGACGTGCGCAGGGAGCGACGGCCGCGAGGCAAAGCACACCATGGCCCAGAGCGCGGCGGTGCGTATTGCGATACGTCGCCACTTGCCGCATACATGGGACATTGTGATGCTCCAGCGAACCTGGTTTGGCCACTCCTCCTCAAATGGGATCTGGAAGATGTGCATGAGGATGTCGTCCGGGAGGCGGTGGCAGAATGCCATGGCCTCGTTCTTTGCGACGTGGAGGACGCGGAAGCGTCTTGCGAGGTCGACCTCGATCCTGTGGATCGCGGCGGCGTCGTCGGACACCTTGACGTCCGGGTCTGTGCTGTGGGTGATGTTGCGCCGGTTGGCGACGGTCGAGTCCATGACCGAGTTGAGCATGCCGAAGAGGTCGACGGCGTGCTTGAGGTGCGAGGAGCGCAGGCGGAGCTGCGCCTCTGGGGAAGGGTCGTTCGGGACGACGAGCGTCGTGTGGTGATTTGCGGACATCATTGTGGTTAGATGTGCGGAGGACGGGGTGACGGGGACGGAGGTGTCTCCGGGTGCGCGAGGGGAGGGTGGGGGGAGGAAAGAGAGGAGGAGGGGCGAGTGTGATCCAGCGAGGCAGCAGGGGCGTATGAGCGAGGGCCGGGCAGAGGTTCAGCACGGCGCATGCGGCACGTGAACGCCGTGAATAGACGGGCGGGGGAGGGGGAGCCGCAGGGGTACGGTTACGGTACTGTGTGCTATGTTGTGGGAGCGTGTGGTGAGCGGGATGGGGGGGCGTACGTGGCTGTAGAATAATGAGAGAGGGTGGGGCGGGGAGGGACTGATACTGACTATGGTTGCGCGGGCAGGGCGGGCGCAATGGCTGGGTGTATGCCCTGTGCGTTGTCGACCCGGTGCTGGTGCTGGTGCTGGTGCTGGTGCTGTCCTGTCCTGTCTCCAGCGCGGGAGAGGGTTGATGGCAGAAGAGAGTGGCCTGAACGAATTATCCCTGGCGTGCGTGTGCGGGCGCTGGGCTGGCGAGCTGTCGTCGTCGGGGGAGGAGCGACGGTGCGGTTGCGGTTGCGCTGACGCGCTGGTTCGGCACTGTTCAGGATGGGAGTTGCGGTGTGCGGGCGGGAGTGGGGCGTGTACGGGGAGCGGAGGACAAAGGCGAAGGGGGCGGGGGAGGGGAGAGAGGGGGATTATGTGCCTAAAGGAGGGTTACCAGCATGGCAGAGTGAGAGGAAGAAGAGGGCGGAGTGACAGCGATGGGCAGGGAGGGGACAGGGCCGGCTAAATGCGACAGTTGCGCGCGGTGCAAGGTCGGGTTGAGACGATGGTGGAAGATGCGAAGCGTGCGGTGTGTCGAAGCACTCGCACTCGCCAGGGCCGTTCCGTGTTCGTGTTGCTGATGGTGACCCGGTGCTTCGTGCGCTGTCGCTGTCGCTGTCGTCGGGCACCGGTCCCAGTTCCAATTCCAGTCGCAGTTCCTTGTCCTTGTGAGTTTGTGCGCATACACACACGCCAGGGACAGCTCAGCCTCTTGCTCAAATCCGAGTCCGCTACGGAGGGAAAGATCCAGCGCGACAGCGACCGGATCACCCCTCATCCCCCGATGCCTCCGCTTTGAGATCAAGACTATCCCCCCATCTCCGACTTGACACCCTCTCATCCCGGGTCCGGGTCCGTGTCCTGCGCCCTCTTTCCACAGAGCTCCCTTCGGCCCCCGAGCAAGAGGCCACCTCACACCACAATCCTAACAATGGAAATGATATTAATGTCACCCCCCGCCTCTCCCTAACTACGTCATCCGGTGCCGAGCTTACCCAAACTCTCTCCGAGCCAGAAGGAGCCGGCTACTGTAGAACACGCCCATGGAATAAATGTCACTCTTGGCACGAAACCCACTGGACAATCACACCACCACCTCTCCCTTCTCTAACGGAGCCACGGGCCCACGCGCCGTACTTACGAGATCACTCCGGTCGCCTGACTTACGCCTGTCCAAAACCCTAAAACTCGCGCCCTCCGATCGGCGCCCCAGAGCGAAGCACCCTGAGCATCATAGGGACGTCCCACCTCCGAGTCCCACCTGCTGCTCTCGCAGCGCATCTCGGCCCAGGACTGACAGCCACTTCCCCCATCTTCTCCCCCACACACATGATTTCCCCTACTTCGCCACCGATCACCGGACCACCGATCGATCACTCCGACCCGTCTT